GTCAAATAATCTCCAAAAATGAATGACATACACAACACTAAATATACACTTTTATATATCAAAATGTAAATGATTATCTTTCCAAAAGGTATTTGTATAACCCAATAATCAAGTGAATTCAAGCAACAGAAAGATCTCTGAAGACAGCATGGAAAAAAACATTCCAGAAACTTAAACCTTTTTTATTTGTGGCGTATTTGTGCATGCACAGGTATGTGGCTCTTGACCATCATTTTGCTTTCCTGTTAGCCACACTCCTTTACCGGAATTGTGGGCATTGACGTATTACTACTGGTGATAGCTGGTCACAGCATATCAGGCTTCTATGTAGCACAGCTCATAGAGCTGAAGAACGAATTTAAACATATTGAGACCGATTCTCCACTGCATTACTTCAGGTTTACATAAGTGTGACTAAAATAACAGAAGTTAGTTCTGAAAAACTTCAATACATCCAACCCATAAATTCAGATTCAGATCCAAACTTTCCCAAAATAAAGTGTTTAGATTTTGGTTTGAGCCTGTATCTAAAATTTATAACCATACCTGTATTACAAGATGAATAGTCACCCTCTCTTGGGTTTTCTCTTTCAGAATGTTACACACTCCCAGAAATCACTCCTGTTAGATTTGAACTTCAGAGGAGTATGGGGCTAATATTTAGCTTTCCTAACTACTTACCACAATTAAAATGTAAATATTTTGTCATTGCTTTTTAATAATTTATTTCAAGACCCAATAACAGAGGATGTATAATCTGAACCATGAACAATGAAATGGTGTTCACTAAACTGGATTTAATCGGATCAATTTACAAATTAATTAAATTATATGCTATCACAAGTAGTAGGAAAAAGGCTACAAATCACAATTAAGAGTATTCTCTTTAAATTCCTCAGCATGAATCACCGTTTGTGAAAACCAGTACTTTTCTGGGTGGCAAAGGGTTTGATTGAGCTATCTAACTTTACTTGATGCTGAAATATAGCTTAAAACACTACTCCCCAAGCCCATTCAGCCCCCAGTCCTGCTCTGCCTCCGGGTCCAGCTCCACCCTCATTCCCTCTCTGCCTCCAGCCCAGCTCCAACCCCAGCCTCTGCTCCTCACTGCCCCCAGGCTGGCTCTGTCCTCATTCCCTCTCCAGCCCCAGCTCTGCTGCTGAGGAAGCCTTGGCTGTGCAGTAAAAGGGGGAAGGCTTAAGATAGGGGGCGTAGCGGATTTATGATTAACTCAGCTGCCTGATGGGAACCAAGCTTACAG